GGTCTACAATCTTGTCCCTGACATCCTTGGAGAGCTCTTTGGTCTTGGCCATGGTGGAGAGTTTGGAATCTGATTGATTGATTGCTTCTGTGGACAGGTGTCTTTTATACAGGTAACAAGCTGAGATTAGGAGCACTCCCTTTAAGAGTGTGCTCCTAATCTCAGCTCGTTACCTGTATAAAAGACACCTGGGAGCCAGAAATCCTTCTGATTGAGAGGGGGTCAAATACTTATTTCCCTCATTAAAATGCAAATCAATTTTTTGACATGCGTTTTTCTGGATTTTGTTGTTGTTATTCTGTCTCTCACTGTTCAAATAAACCTACCATTAAAATTATAGACTGATCATGTCTTTGTCAATGGGCAAACGTACAAAATCAGCAGGGGATCAAATACTTTTTTCCCTCACTGTAATGTTCGGACAGACGCTGACACACTGTTCTCATAATGTATGTTCAGAGTGGTCCCGAGTAATCTCTCCACTGCGGCCACACTGCCCTGCAGTCACCACTGCAGCAGAGCAGAGGCCCACTGAGGGAATGGAAGACTGCCTCATGTAAATGGCCTGACTTGGCTTAAATACATTTGTTCTGCTTCCAAGGGTTTCACCAGTGTCTGTCTCCGGGAAGGGGCCATTAAGAGAGAGATGTGTGTGTGTGTGTGTGTGTGTGTGTGTGTGTGTGTGTTAGTACGTGAAAACCAGCTGTAAAATCCAACCAAAGAGCAGAGCAATTCCAACACACATTTTATCAGTGGCAGTAATGACTATTTAATGTATTTTTTCATAGTGTCTCTGAAACTCTTTGTGGCTAAGTCATAAATGACCCTGTGTATTTTAGATGCAAACGTGTGTGTGCATTTGTGTACCTTTTGGAATGTGATGAATCTGTAATCAAGCAAAGCAATCAGTCGACCATAGATTTGGCTCATTAGGACCTCCAAAAATATATTGAGGGTCATCTTTTGGCCTTCTGTCTGAATGAATTTAACACACTGCTGCTGGTGAGCCCACTGCAGTGTCCTCCATTTTATGTGTATTTAGTGAGTGGGTCATTGAATGGTGAGATTATCGATTGCTCTAACTTGGGAAACCAACTAATTTCTTAGAGAGCGATCAATAAAGGGAGATGGAGGCATGAGTTCATGCATCCCCTGGGTGTTGGGCTTAGAATATGGAGTTTACATTTTAGAGGAATTGATTCCAAATAGCATTCAGAAGTGCTCGTGTCTTTCTAATGTTTGTTTTTGTTTGCGGTGTCTGTGGTGAGGACCCTGCATCCTTAATTTCCCTCCTTTATTTCAGTCTCCTCTGAACTCTGATCTTCCCTCTGCAGATGACTCAGGGGACGAGGAGCCCACGACCCAGTCGGACCGCAGTGAGGGGATCCAGGGCACTCTGAAGACCCTGATCAGCAAGCTCGATGACCTCAGCACGTGTAACGACCTAATCGCCAAGCATGGGGCGGCCCTGCAGCGCTCTCTGAGTGAACTTGAGGCGCTGAGAGTCCCCGTGGAGGGAGGAGAGAAGATCAAGGGCGTCAATGAGCGAGCCACCCTCTTCCGCATCACCTCGAATGCTATGATCAATGTGAGTAATGAGACTTAAGGCTTCTACACATCTATCCAAATAAAGCTAGCTAACTATGGATGATACGTTTGGTCGTTTTTCCCCCAACTCAGACCGACTTCTACATGTTGAATAGGGACCTACAGTACCAGTCAAAAGTTTGGACACACCTACTCATTCAAGGGTTTTTCTTTATTTTTACTATTTTCTACATTGTAGAATAATAGTAAAGAGATCAAAACTATGAAATAACACATATGGAATCATGTAGTAACCAAAAAACTGTTAAACAAATCAAAATATGTTTTATATTTGAGATTCTTCAAATAGCACCCTTTGCCTTGATGACAGCTTTGCACATTCTTTGCATTCTCTCAACCAGCTTCATGAGGTAGTCACCTGGAATGCATTTCAATTAACAGGTGGGCTTCTTAAAAGTTAATTTGTGGAATTTCTTTCCTTCTTAATACGTTTGAGCCAATCAGTTGTGTTGTGACAAGGTAGGGGTGGTATACAGAAGATAGCCCTATTTGGTAAAAGACCAAGTCCATATTATGGCAAGAACAGCTAAAATAAGCAAAGAGAAACGACAGTCCATCATTACTTTAAGACATGGTCAGGCAATACGGAAAATATCAAGAACTTTGAAAGTTTCTTCAAGTGCAGTTGCAAAAACCATCAAGCGCTATGATGAAACTGGCTCTCATGAGGACCGCCACAGGAATGAAATATTTTGATTTGTTTAACACTTTTTTGGTTACTACATGATTCCATATGTGTTATTTCATAGTTTTGATGTCTTCACTATTATTCTACAATGTAAAAAATTGTAAAAAAAATAAAGAAAAACCCTTGAATGAGTAGGAAGCGATTACAGCCTCGAGTGTTATTGGGTATGACGCTACAAGCTTGGCACACCTGTATTTGGGGAGTTTCTCCCATTCTTCTCTGCAGATCCTCTCAAGCTCTGTCAGGTTGGATGGGGAGCGTCACTACACAGCTATTTTCAGGTCTCTCCAGAGATGTTCGATCGGATTCAAGTCCGGGCTCTGGCTGGGCCGCTCAAGAACATTCAGAGACTTGTCCCGGAGCCACTCCTGCGTTGTCTTGGCTGTGTGCTTAGGGTCATTGTTCTGTTGGAAGGTGAACCCTTCGCCCCAGGAGGTCCTGATGCGGGCACTTTGTCCCGAAGCCACTCCTGCGTTGTCTTGGCTGTGTGCTTAGGGTCATTGTTCTGTTGGAAGGTGAACCTTCGCCCCAGTCTGAGGTCCTGAGCGCTCTGGAGCAGGTTTTCATCAAGGATCTCTCTGTACTTTGCTCCGTTCATCTTTGCCCTTGATCCTGACTAGTCTCACAGTCCCTGCCGCTGAAAAACATCCCCACCCTATGATGCTGCCACCACCATGCTTCACCGTAGGGATGGTGCCAGGTTTCCTCCAGATGTGACGCTTGGCATTCAGGCCAAAGAGTTCAATCTTACCCGAGAATCTTGTTTCTCATGGTCTGAGAGTCCTTTAGGTGCCTTTTGGCAAACTACAAGTGGGCTGTCATGTGCTTTTTACTGAGGAGTGGCTTCCGTCTGGCCACTCTACCATAAATGCCTGATTGGTGGAGTGCTGTAGAGATGGTTGTCCTTCTGGAAGGTTCTCCCATCTCCACAGAGGAACTCTAGAGCTCTGTCAGAGTGACCATCGGGTTCTTGGTCACCTCCCTGACCAAGGCCCTTCTCCCCCGATTGCTCAGTTTGGCCGGGCGGCCAGCTCTAGGAAGAGTCTTGGTGGTTCCAAACTTCTTCCATTTAAGAATGATGGCAGCCACTATGTTCTTGGGGACCTTCAATGCTGCAGACAATTTTTGGTACCCTTCCCCAGATCTGTGCCTCGACACAATCCTGTCTCGGAGCTCTACGGACAATTCCTTCGACCTCATGGTTTGATTTTTGCTCTGACATGCAGTCAACTGTGGGACCTTATATAGACAGGTGTGTGGCTTTCCAAATCACGTCCAATCAAGTTGTAGAAACATCTCAAGGATGATCAATGGAAACAGGATGCACCGGAGCTCAATTTTCGAGTCTCATAGCAAAGGGTCTGAATACTTATGTAAATAAGGTATTTCCGTTTTTTTTTTATAACCTGTTTTTGCTTTGTCATTATGGGGTATTGTGTGTATTTCTCAGGATATTAAAAAATATATATACATTTTAGAATAAGGCTGTAACGTAACAAATGTGGAAAAGGTCAAGGGGTCTGAATACTTTCCGAAGGCACTGTATGTTAGATATATGTGTAGAAGCCTTTACATGGCAATGGGTACTGTGTAGAGTGACCAGCATTCTCAGTGCTATGGTACAGTGAGGGGAAAAAAATCCCCTGCTGATTTTGTACGTTTGCCCACTGACAAAGACATGATCAGTCTATAATTTTAATGGTAGGTTTATCTGAACAGTGAGAGACTGAATAACAACAAAAAAATCCAGAAAAACGCATGTCAAAAATGTTATAAATTGATTTGCATTTTAATGAGGGAAATAAGTATTTGACCCCTCTGCAAAACACGACTTAGTACTTGGTGGCAAAACCCTTGTTGGCAATCACAGAGTTTCTTGCAGTTGGCCACCAGGTTTGCACACATTTCAGGAGGGATTTTGTCATACTCCTCTTTGCAGATGTTCTCCAAGTCATTAAGCACACTCCCTTTAAGAGTGTGCTCCTAATCTCAGCTCGTTACCTGTATAAAAGACACCTGGGAGCCAGAAATCTTTGTGATTGAGATGGGGTCAAATACTTATTTCCCTCATTAAAATGCAAATCAATTTATAACATTTTTGACATTCATTTTTCTGGATTTTTTAGTTGTTATTCTGTCTCTCACTGTTCAAATAAACCTACCATTAAAATTATAGACTGATCATTTCTTTGTCAGTGGGCAAACGTACAAAATCAGCAGGGGATCAAATACTTTTTTCCCTCACTGTATGATAGATGTGACTGGAATGACACAGGTCAGCAGTGTGTATTTACTGTAGTGATGTGCTTTAGATTCTCAAATGCTCAAATGCTCTTGTAAATGTGACGACAAAGGGAAGCTCTTCTTAGGTGGTACCTCTTTCTAGCACTGACGTATCATTTATAGTATGTGCCACCCATCCAGTTACAGTATGTTAGATATGTGCAGTGGTGTTGTTAGCATCTGAACTAGCTCCTCTATTGCTATGGTCACCATGACCACAGAGAGTCATTTCCATAGGCCATGTGGTATTATAGTGGACTAGAGGGCAGAGGAGAGGAGAGGTCGGTACTGAAGGAGTGATACCGGATCTGGGCTGGGGGGGGGGGGGGGAGACAGGAATAGTCTTGCCCCCTCCCCAAACCTCCCTAGACCCTCCCAGCCCAGAGACCTGAGCCCAGAGACGAATGCCAGAGCCCCCTCTGCCTCCACAAAACAGACATGCTTTTACAGGGGCCAGACGCTACACAGACAATCAGACAAGGTTTGTGTGTCTCTTTCTTCTACTATGCTGCTTGGCTTTGATGTGTTTGATGGCTTTGTTGTATGTTTGACAATAGATGGCTTTGTTTTTTCCTGTGCCACAGACTGTTATTTCTGTGGTGATGTGTTTCTGACACATGGGGAATGTTCCCATAACATGGGTCATGAGCAGGTGGGATAGTGTATCCAGGGCACATGTACTTGACCTTTTTAAACATGGCCTGGCTTGAAATGATACTGTAAGAAATGATGGAGTGTGTTTGCTCAGCTGAATGAGAATCAATTTAGCTTTGTAAAAAAGTGCCATAATTCACAGGAGTTCAGCCCCATTTAGAGTGTTCTAAATCTGTGTGGAGAAGTCTGCACTTTTATCATAGATTTAAAGTGAGGAAAAATAGTATTTGATCCCTGCTGATTTTGTACGTTTGCCCACTGACAAAGAAATGATCAGTCTATAATTTTAATGTTAGGTTGTAATGTAATGTTTATTTGAACAGTGAGAGAATAACAACAACCAAATCCAGAAAAAAAACGCATGTCAAAAATGTTATTAATTGATTTGCATTTTAATGAGGGAAATAAGTATTTGACCCCCTCTCAATCAGAAAGATTTCTGGCTCCCAGGTGTCTTTTATACAGGTAACGAGCTGAGATTAGGAGCACACTCTTAAAGGGAGTGCTTCTAATCTCAGTTTGTTACCTGTATAAAAGACACCTGCCCACAGAAGCAATCAATCAATCAGATTCCAAACTCTCCACCATGGCCAAGACCAAAGAGCTCTCCAAGGATGTCAGGGACAAGATTGTAGACCTACACAAGGCTGGAATGGGCTACGAGACCATCGGCAAGCAGCTTGGTGAGAAGGTGACAACAGTTGGTGTGATTATTTGCAAATGGAAGAAACACAAAATAACTGTCAATCTCCCTCGGCCTGGGGCTCCATGCAAGATCTCACCTCGTGGAGTGGCAATGATCATGAGAACGGTGAGGAATCAGCCCAGAACTACACGGGAGGATCTTGTCAATGATCTCAAGGCAGCTGGGACCAAGGGTCACCAAGAAAACAATTGGTAACACACTACGCCGTGAAGGACTGAAATCCTGCAGTGCCCGCAAGGTCCCCTTGCTCAAGAAAGCACATATACAGGGCCGTCTGAAGTTTGCCAATAAACATCAGAATGATTCAGAGGAGAACTGGGTGAAAGTGTTGTGGTCAGATGAGACCAAAATCGAGCTCTTTGGCATCAACTCAACTCGCTGTGTTTGGAGGAGGAGGAATGCTGCCTATGACCCCAAGAACACCATCCCCACCGTCAAACATGGAGGTGGAAACATTATGCTTTGGGGTGTTTTTCTGCTAAGGGGACAGGACAACTTCACCGCATCAAAGGGACGATGGACGGGGCCATGTACCGTCAAATCTTGGGTGAGAACCTCCTTCCCTCAGCCAGGGCATTGAAAATGGGTCGTGGATGGTTATTCCAGCATGACAATGACCCAAAACACACGGCCAAGGCAACAAAGGAGTGGCTCAAGAAGAAGCACATTAAGGTCCTGGAGTGGCCTAGCCAGTCTCCAGACCTTAATCCCATAGAAAATCTGTGGAGGGAGCTGAAGGTTCGAGTTGCCAAACGTCAGGCTCGAAACCTTAATGACTTGGAGAAGATCTGCAAAGAGGAGTGGAACAAAATCCCTCCTGAGATGTGTGCAAACCTGGTGGCCAACTACAAGAAACGTCTGACCTCTGTGATTGCCAAAAAGGGTTTAGCCACCAAGTACTAAGTCATGTTTTGCAGAGGGGTCAAATACTTATTTCCCTCAATAAAATGCAAATCAATTCATAACATTTTCGACATGCGTTTTTCTGGATTTTTTAGTTGTTATTCTGTCTCTCACTGTTCAAATAAACCTACCATTAAAATTATAGACTGATCATGTCTTTTTCAGTGGGCAAACGTATAAAATCAGCAGGGGATCAAATACTTTTTTCCCTCACTGTAGCTGTCTTCCCTCTAAAGGCCTTTTATTTCTGCACGCAGTTCATTTCTGTGTTGATTAATTGGAATGGGAACCGAAAGTTACTGGACAGGCAATAGAACATACCCTGTTGGATTTCCTATCTCATTAAACCACTGTTAGATCTGGTCAAACTGGAGGCGCTGATGAGGGAGGGGGTGGAAAAGTGCTGCTTCTGAAAGTGCCCTGTAGTAGTTTTTTTTTAATGGTTTTGTGCAAGGAGTGGAAGGGGAGAGTAGATAAGTAGGCTATTTGTTGATAGCTACAGTAGGCTGTGGTTAGTTCAGTTTGTGATGTAATTTGATATGTCAACACAACCACCGCTCTTGATCTCATTTTCCACCAACTGGTGGTTGGAGGGGAGGGGGGGGGGGTTCTGACCCTGATTGGAGTGATGTGGATCTGACCCTGATTAGAAGCTGGTTCATGAATAGGTGATGTAACACCTCACGTGTGGTATTGGTGCGACTGCTGTGATCAGTGAGGTTTGTTTCTGTGTGTGTGTGTGTGTGTGTGTGTGTGTGTGTGTGTTTGTGTGTGTGTGTGTGTGTGCATACATTTGCACAAATGTACATTAAGATTATGCAGCGGGGGCCCCTTTCCATTTAATGCACTCAAACCATATGAAACCTTGACGGAAATGTCACGCTTGCCCAACCATGCACACTCTCTGTAAACTGAATCAGGACATTTATTTCAACTCCAACAGCTGTTAAATCTGCTTGATTTGTATGTTGAATCATTATGCGATATCCACTGAGTTCAGACATGATGATATCAAATCAAATCAAATCAAATTTTATTGGTCACATGTGCCGAATACAACAGGTGCAGACATTGCAGTGAAATGCTTACTTACAGCCCTTAACCAACAGTGCATTTATTTTAAACAAAAAAAGTAAGAATAAAACAACAACAACAAAAAAGTGTTGAGAAAAAAAGAGCAGAAGTAAAATAAAGTGACAGTAGGGAGGCTATATATACAGTAAAATAAAGTGACAGTAGGGAGGCTATATATACAGGGGGGTACCGTTGCAGAGTCAATGTGCGGGGGCACCGGCTAGTTGAGGTAGTTGAGGTAATATGTACATGTGGGTAGAGTTAAAGTGACTATGCATAAATACTTAACAGAGTAGCAGCAGCGTAAAAAGGATGGGGTGGGGGGGCAGTGCAAATAGTCCGGGTAGCCATGATTAGCTGTTCAGGAGTCTTATGGCTTGGGGGTAGAAGCTGTTGAGAAGTCTTTTGGACCTAGACTTGGCACTCCGGTACCGCTTGCCGTGCGGTAGCAGAGAGAACAGTCTATGACTAGGGTGGCTGGAGTCTTTGACAATTTTGAGGGCCTTCCTCTGACACCGCCTGGTATAGAGGTCCTGGATGGCAGGGAGCTTTGCCCCAGTGATGTACTGGGCCGTACGCACTACCCTCTGTAGTGCCTTGCGGTCAGAGGCCAAGCAGTTGCCATACCAGGCGGTGATGCAACCAGTCAGGATGCTCTCGATGGTGCAGCTGTAGAATTTTTTGAGGATCTGAGGACCCATGCCAAATCTTTTTAGTCTCCTGAGGGGGAATAGGCTTTGTCGTGCCCTCTTCACGACTGTCTTGGTGTGTTTGGACCATGATAGTTCGTTGGTGATGTGGACACCAAGGAACTTGAAGCTCTCAACCTGTTCCACTACAGCCCCGTCGATGAGAATGGGGGCGTGCTCAGTCCTCTTTTTTTTCCTGTAGTCCACAATCATCTCCTTTGTCTTGGTCACGTTGAGGGAGAGGTTGTTGTCCTGGCACCACCGGAAGTCACGAGCAGCAGTCTGAGTTGAATGTACAGTGAGGGAAAAAGGATTTGATCCCCTGCTGATTTTGTACGTTTGCCCACTGACAAAGAAATTATCAGTCTATAATTTGAATGGTAGGTTTATTTGAACAGTGAGAGACAGAATAACAACAAAAAAATCCAGAAAAACGCATGTCAAAAATGTTATAAATTGATTTGCATTTGCATGGAAATAAGTATTTGACCCCTCTGCAAAACATGATTTAGTACTTGGTGGCAAAACCCTTGTTGGCAATCACAGAGGTCAGATGTTTCTTGTAGTTGGCCACCAGGTTTGCACACATCTCTGGAGGGATTTTGTCTCACTCCTCTTTGCAGATCTTCTCCGAGTCATTAAGATTTCGAGGCTGACGTTTGGCAACTCGAACCTTCAGCTCCCTCCACAGATTTTCTATGGGATTAAGTTCTGGAGACTGGCTAGGCCACTCCAGGACCTTAATGTGCCTCTTCTTGAGCCACTCCTTTGTTACCTTGGCCATGTGTTTTGGGTCATTGTCATGCTGGAATACCCATCCACGACCCATTTTCAATGCCCTGGCTGAGGGAAGGAGGTTCTCACCCAAGATTTGACGGTACATGGCCCCGTCCATCGTCCCTTTGATGCGGTGAAGTTGTCCTGTCCCCTTAGCAGAAAACCCCCCCAAAGCATAATGTTTCCACCTCCATGTTTGACAGTGGGGATGGTGTTCTTGGGGTCATAGGCAGCATTCCTCCTCCTCCAAACACGGCGAGTTGAGTTTATGCCAAAGAGCTCCATTTTGGTCTCATTTGACCACAACACTTTCACCCAGTTCTCCTCTGAATCATTTAGATGTTCACTGGCAAACTTCAGACGGCCCAGTATATGTGCTTTCTTGAGCAGGGGGACCTTGCGGGCGCTGCAGGATTTCAGTCCTTCACGGCGTAGTGTGTTACCAATTGTTTTCTTGGTGACTATGGTCCCAGCTGCCTTGAGATCATTGACAAGATCCTCCCGTGTAGTTCTGGGCTGATTCCTCACCGTTCTCATGATCATTGCAACTCCACGAGGTGAGATCTTGCATGGAGCCCCAGGCCAAGGGAGATTGACAGTTATTTTGTGTTTCTTCCATTTGCGAATAATCGCACCAACTGTTGTCACCTTCTCACCAAGCTGCTTGGCGATGGTCTTGTAGCCCATTCCAGCCTTGTGTAGGTCTACAATCTTGTCCCTGACATCCTTGGAGAGCTCTTTGGTCTTGGCCATGGTGGAGAGTTTGGAATCTGATTGATTGATTGCTTCTGTGGACAGGTGTCTTTTATACAGATAACAAGCTGAGATTAGGAGCACTCCCTTTAAGAGTGTGCTCCTAATCTCAGCTCGTTACCTGTATAAAAGACACCTGGGAGCCAGAAATCTTTCTGATTGAGAGGGGGTCAAATACTTATTTCCCTCATTAAAATGCAAATCAATTTATAACATTTTTGACATGCGTTTTTCTGGATTTTTTTGTTGTTATTCTGTCTCTCACTGTTCAAATAAACCTACCATTAAAATTATAGACTGATCATGTCTTTGTCAGTGGGCAAACGTACAAAATCAGCAGGGGATCAAATACTTTTTTCCCTCACTGTATATTTAAATGTATATTTAAATGTGCCTGAGGAGCAGAAGGAAGTGAGTAGCTCTGTCACATGATGCATTTTCAGTGTGAGAAGTCAAACCTCCGCAATCAGAACACTTCCTATTTTGACTTCTGAAGGTAAGAGGATATATATTATCTATGAGTAAGGCTGTGATTTAGCTACAAAAACACTGCTGTTCATTTGAATTGGTGTGAATTGTGAAATGACAAACACTTTGGGAAGTTAGTTTAGACTCCTGGTTTTGGTGTCAGGTCATCAGTGTAGATGGTTGTGTGAGATTAGTGCTCTTTAATTGTCAGTTAGGCTAGCGTGCAGCTCTCTGATTTATTAATGTGATGGCCTATACTGTGAGAAGATTAAACTCATAACATGTCAATTGGTTAAATTATGTTGCTGCAGGATTATTTTCCTGCTGTGAGAAACTGGTCAAATTCAGATCCTACATCCTAGGTTGGTTTGTGTTTCAACAAAGATCTTCAATGTTAAAATATTCAATTATTTTGAGCTGCTGGCTTAGTGTGGGGGATATATAGGACCCTTCCATGTTCCTGTTCCATCTGTCTGAGCGCGAGATGTCCTATCTGTGCAACCCACTGATCTTAGAGGACACAGATTATCTGTGCTGTGTGACACACATGGCCCTCAGCTACACACCACAGCCAGAACCATGGCCAAGTGGTTTCAGCCATCCAATTGCCTGTGGCACCGGGACCAAATAGGTTTTTAATGGCTGAATGCTGAACAGGATGCTGCACTGACTGCATAACAATGTGCTCATATGATCAGAGTAAGTCGCTCTGGATAAGAGCGTCTGCTAAATGACTAAAATGTCAATGTAAATTCGAGCACTCCGTGGTTGTGTAGATATGGGTGGATATAGTCAGGTTTGTCATGGTATGCTGTTTAGGCTAGCTGTTTGACCATTCACTCTGATACTTACTTGTGGAAGCAGTGGTAGCCTACAGGACTGATGTTTCTGCTGATGTGTGTTTCTGCCCCACAGTCTGCTTATCACAATGTGTGTTCCATTTCCTGTGATTTCAGGTCATTGACCTCCCAATACATTCCATGGTCTGACACACGATGTAGAGGGAGGCAAACGCTGACAGACTCTACTTGAGTGTTTGATCTAGAGTAACCTCCCCATTTTGCCAAGAATGCAGTCGTAACTCAGAAGGCCTTTTTTGACTTGCCCTGAGTTCACTTGAATTTGTTCTGCATTCAATGGTTTTGCCTGTGGCTAAGCATTTTCCTCATGGTGACTTCGGGAAACTCAGAGCCTGCCCCTAAGACATTATTTAAAATGCACACAGCATGAGAGAGGCATGCAGATATAACTAATGGTCAAGATGTTGATGATGGTGCTAATCAACAGTGGTCTAAATATTTACGTTAATCTTGATTATAATGATAACACAACGATCAACTTAGTTGGAAAACTGATTTCCTTCAACCAATCAAGAAAGCCCTTAACATCTACAAATCCACAAGGACTAGACTAAGAAATATCCTTGTGCATATTGACTCTCATGATGAAGTCTCTGCTCCTTCTTATCATGCCTGACATCATGCGTCTGTGTGTTGTGTTGTGTTTGTAATTATAGGCGTGTCGCGACTTCCTGGACCTAGCGGAGACCCACAGCAGGAGATGGCAGCGGGCGCTGCAGTATGAGAGAGAGCAGCGTATCCACCTGGAGGAGACCATAGAGCAGCTAGCCAAGCAGCACAACAGTCTGGAGAGAGCCTGGAGAGAGGCCCCCACACTCTCTGCCAACACGCCCAGCGCCCCCACCACCAAGAAGGGTAAGGCCCCTTAGCCTGGCCTCCTAGTCCATAGTCCTTAGGGCTTTAGACTAACAGGCCTCTGTGAATTTGTGGAAATAGGACATGTAAGCCATGTCAGATGGTTTTGAATTAGATTGTCTCTGTAATTAAGGATTTGACTGGAAGAGACATTTCTTATGAGTAGCATGTTACTAATAGTATTGAAATGGGCATAATCACCTCTCCATCGGGATAGCCATTCTAGTGTATCAGAGTAGATGTGTATCACACAGGAATGGATGGATATAGAAGTATTATTTGTCAGTCTGAAGTTATATTGAAGTTTGAGTTTTTCCTCCCCTCTTGTCAGGAATTGAGTTCAGTACTTAGTTAGCCTGCAGGGACGTTACCTATTAAAGCCAATTATCCATAATTAATCTCCATGGGTTGTTGATTAGCTACTGTAACCTACTGTACCTTCCCCTCCACAAATCATGTGATTACTGCTGCACCAATCTAGAGCATGGTGTGTGTTCTCTCTCTCAGGAGGGAGTGAGAGGCCGCAGAAAGGGGAGGCGAGTGATGAAGATGAGGAGACAGAGTACTTTGACGCCATGGAGGACTCCCCTGCCTTTATCACAGTGACCGCCACTGAAAACACACAGCACAGGTCAGTCAGTCAGTCTCACCCTATGGCCTGTACAGTGAACTCCCTGACTGGCCTCCCTCTGCTCTTCACATCCACCTAAATGGATCATGGATGTTTAGTTTGGTATTAGTCTGTCTTTAGACTGATTCAGTGTGAATAGACTATGTGATAAATACAAAGATGTGATGACTTGATTGTGCCTGTTGATGGATTCTGTAGTGTTTAAACCAGAGCATCTGTCAAGCCCAGAGCCATACGGTACACCCATTATTGCCTGTGTATGACTCATTCCCTTTACATCAGCAGCTCAATAAACCCCCAGCACATTCTTCCCTCTGTGCTCATAATCTCTCTCACACACTCACACTCACACTCACACTCACACTCACACACACACACACACACACACACACACACACACACACACACACACACACACACACACGCACGTAAACAGCACACACACACGCACATAAACAGCACACACACAGCAGACACACACACAAACACACACTTACTTGCTGGTACGGTGGCAGTGTCTGCGACGTCTGTCTGTCTGTCCTGTGCTGGCTCTGGCACTATTAACAGCTCTATGATAAGATAGCTCATTCCCCATACTGCTCTTCTACCTGGGAATTAACCAGACTTTGAAGCCCAGCCACTTCTCCCTTTACTTCAACACCTGCTGTCTCGCAGGACTCTTTCCCTGTGAGGAGAACAGTTTCTGTTTTCCAGATACATACTCTGCTCCTCTCCAGCTCAGACACATCTATCCACCACTAACAGAACAACTCAGAGACCGATCAGTGCTGAATAGAGCCACCCATCTCTGTCTGTCTGCCTGCCTTCCGTTTGTTTTGGTTATTTTGTGTGTCTTCAGTGTGTGTGTGGGTGGGTGGGTTTTGTGTGCGTGCATGTGTGTGCATTTGTGTGTGTATGTGCGTGTGTCAGTTGTTGTTAAGATGATGTTCCTCTTCCAGGTGTTCTCAGAGTAACCTGAGTGGAGCGAGTGGAGGCCATACCAATGATTGGAACCAGGACAATGTGAGTGTCTCTCCTCCAAGCAGCTCTCAGTAATGATCCACATGCCTGTCGACACACTAAGCTTGTTAACCACCTCACTGTAGATTCACGCTTGTCAATGTTTGTGAAGCGCTTTGTGTTATTTTTAGCCTGTTTCCAATTGTTGTTTTCAAGCATCATGTTAAGGAAATTTGCATATCACAAACTATAACTTGGGGCATGTTTTTTTACACACACACACACTTGCATGTTTTTACCACACAAATGAACACACGCTCACAGGCTCTCTTTGTGTGTGTACTCCCTGTGCCCTGTTCCCCTGCAGTGCTGGAGATGCACAGCTGCTCTCTCTGTCATTTCTCTGGATTTTAATTACCAGTCAGACATCTGCTCTCCCGATTCCCTCTCTCTCATTCTCCTCTCTTATTCCCTCTTTCTTTCTCTATCTGTGTCACTCTACTTCCAAATGGTGACTCACTGAGTCCCTGACAAGCTGTCCATAGTTAAGCTAGATTTCTCTTCACAGCATTCTATGATGTTAACAAATCTAAAGTTAGACGTTTGTCTCTTTCACTCCTTCCCCATCTCTCTCTCTCGCCCTCTCTATCTTTCTCTCTCTCTCTCTCTTTCTCTCTCTCTCTCTCTCGCTCTCCTCTCTCTGTCTCTCCTCCTCTCTCGCTCTCTCTCTCTGTCCTGTCTTCTCTCTTCTCTCTCTGTTTCTCTCTTCTGTCGCTTTTTCTCTCTCTCTCTCGTCTCTCTCCCTCTCTCTCTCGCTCTCGTCTCTCGTCTCTTTCTCTCTTTCGCCCTCTCTCTCTCTCTCTCGCTCTCTCTCTCTCTCTATTGCTCTCTCTCTCTCTATCTCTCTCTCCCTCAGGTGTCTCCTAGCTGTAAGGATTCTGGGAAGGAGCTGCAGCCCCTCAGAAGGAGGCGGAGCCACATCCCAGACAAGCCCAACTACTCCCTCAACCTGTGGAGCATCATGAAGAATTGCATCGGCAAGGAACTCTCCAAGATCCCCATGCCTGTGAGTGTGTGTGGCATGCTTGTGTCCATGTAGTAGAATGAGCCTGGGTGTGAGTGTTTGAGAGTGGAGAGAGTGGCATCCCAATAGTGTGCCATTGGGGACTTATCCAAAATGTGCAAGTCAATGACAACTCTTGTAACCATTACAATCTGTCTGTCTGTCTGTCTTGTCTGTCCCCCCCATGCAGGTGAACTTCAACGAGCCTCTGTCCATGCTGCAGCGGCTGACAGAGGACCTGGAGTACCATGAGCTGCTGGACAAGGCGGCGCGCTGCGAGAGCTCCCTGGAGCAGCTGTGTCTGGTTGCAGCCTTCTCTGTGTCCTCCTACTCCACCACCGTCCACCGCACAGCCAAGCCCTTCAACCCCCTGCTGGGGGAGACCTATGAGCTGGACCGCCTGGACGACTTCGGCTACCGCTCGCTGTGTGAGCAGGTACACACAGAGACAGAGATACAGTACAATATGACGCTGAGACAAACACAGAAAAATACTCCATGTATTTGTAGACGGCACTGCCATTTAGTGCCTCTGCTGTACATACAAGCCATTATACACAACAGTTCCAATCATTGACATACTATATCTAGAGCAGTGATCTTCCTTTGAACATGTAAATAACCTTTTCCCCTCACCCCCACTCTGTAGGTGAGCCATCACCCCCCAGCAGCAGCTCACCATGTGATTTCTCAGCGGGGCTGGAGCCTCTGGCAGGAAATCACCATAGCCAGCAAGTTCCGTGGCAAATACCTCTCCATAATGCCTCTGGGTGCGTTTGCTGAATACGTATTCACCATGTACTGATCACTGTCAACACACTCTATGCAAATAAAGGTCTCATGACGGTGTATACAGTTGAAGTCGGAAGTTTACATACACCTTAGCCAAATACATTTAAACTCAGTTTTTCACAATTCCTGACATTTAATCCTAGTAAAAATGTCCTGTCTTAGGTCAGTTAGGATCACCACTTTATTTTAAGATTGTGAAATGTCAGAATAATAGTAGAGAGAATGATTTATTTCAGCTTTTATTTCTTTCATCACATTCCCAGTGGGTCAGAAGTTTACATACACTCGATTTGTATTTGTTAGCATTGCTTTTAAATGGTTTAACTTGCCTTCCACAAGCTTCCCACAATAAGTTGGGTGAATTTTGGCCCATTCCTCCTGACAGAGCTGGTTTAACTGAGTCAGGTTTGTAGGCCTCCTTGCTCGCACATGCTTTTTCAGTTCTGCCCACAAACTTTCAGTAGGATTGAGGTCAGGGCTTTGTGATGGCCACTCCAATACCTTGACTTTGTTGTCCTTAAGCCATTTTGCCACAACTTTGGAAGTATGCTTGGGGTCATTGTCCATTTGGAAGACCCATTTGCGACCAAGCTTTAACTTCCTGACTGATGTCTTGAGATGTTGCTTCAATATATCCACATAATTTTCCTTCCTCATTATGCCATCTATTTTGTGAAGTGCACCAGTCCCTCCTGCAGCAAAGCACCCCCACAGCATGATGCTTCCTCCCCCGTGCTTCAAGGTTGGGGTGGTGTTCTTCGGCTTGCAAGCTCCCCCTTTTTCCTCCAAATATAACGATGGTCATTATGGCCAAACAGTTCTATTTTTGTTTCATCAGACCAGAGGACATTTCTCCAAAAAGTACTATTGTTTGTACAGATGAACGTGGTGCCTTCAGGCATGTGGAAATTGCTCCCAAGGATGAACCAGACTTGTGGAGGTCTACAATTTGTTTTCTGAGGTCTTGGCTGATTTCTTTTGATTTTCCCATGATGTCAAGCAAAGAGGCACTGAGTTTGAAGGTAGGCCTTGAAATACATCCACAGGTACATCTCCAATTGACTCAAATGATGTAAATTAGCCTATCAGAAGCTTCTAAAGCCATGACATCATTTTCTGGAATGTTCCAAGCTGTTTAAAGGCACAGTCAACTTAGTGTATGTAAATTTCTGACCCACTGGAATTGTGATACAGTGAATTATAAGTGAAATAATCTGTCTGTAAACAATTGTTGGAAAAATTACTTGTGTCATGCAGAAAGTAGATGTCCTAACCGACTTGCCAAAACTATAGTTTGTTAACAAGAAACTTGTGGAGTGGTTGAAAAACAAGTTTTAATGACTCCAACCTAAGTCTATGTAAACTTCCGACTTCAACTGTATATTTATATACAGTGGGGAGAACAAGTATTTGATACACTGCCGATTTTGCAGGTTTTCCTACTTACAAAGCATGTAGAGGTCTGTAATTTTTATCATAGGTACACTTCAACTGTGAGAGACGGAATCTAAAACATCTAAAAATCCAGAAAATCACATTGTATGATTTTTAAGTAATTAATTTGCATTTTATTGCATGACATAAGTATTTGATACATCAGAAAAGCAGAACTTAATATTTGGTACAGAAACCTTTGTTTGCAATTACAGAGATCATACGTTTCCTGTAGGTCTTGACCAGGTTTGCACACACTGCAGCAGGGATTTTGGCCCACTCCTCCATACAGACCTTCTCCAGATCCTTCAGGTTTCGGGGCTGTCGCTGGGCAATATGGACTTTCAGCTCGCTCCAAAGATTTTCTATTGGGTTCAGGTCTGGAGACTGGCTAGGACACTCCAGGACCTTGAGATGCTTCTTACGGAGCCACTCCTTAGTTGCCCTGGCTGTGTGTTTCGGGTCGTTGTCATGCTGGAAGACCCAGCCACGACACATCTTCAATGCTCTTACTGAGGGAAGGAGGTTGTTGGCCAAGATCTCGCGATACATGGCCCCATCCATCCTCCCCTCAATACGGTGCAGTCGTCCTGTCCCCTTTGCAGAAAAGCATCCCCAAAGAATGATGTTTCCACCTCCATGCTTCACGGTTGGGATGGTGTTCTTGGGGTTGTACTCATCCTTCTTCTTCCTCCAAACACGGCGAGTGGAGTTTAGACCAAAAAGCTCTATTTTTGTCTCATCAGACCACATGACCTTCTCCCATTCCTCCTCTGGATCATCCAGATGGTCATTGGCAAACTTCAGACGGGCCTGGACATGCGCTGGCTTGAGCAGGGGGACCTTGCGTGCGCTGCAGGATTTTAATCCATGACGGCGTACTGTGTTACTAATGGTTTTCTTTGAGACTGTGGTCCCAGCTCTCTTCAGGTCATTGACAAGGTCCTGCCGTGTAGTTCTGGGCTGATCCCTCACCTTCCTCATGATCATTGATGCCCCACGAGGTGAGTTCTTGCATGGAGCCCCAGACCGAGGGTGATTGACCGTCATCTTGAACTTCTTCCATTTTCTAATAATTGCACCAACAGTTGTTGCCTTCTCACCAAGCTGCTTGCCTATTGTCCTGTAGCCCATCCCAGCCTTGTGCAGGTCTACAATTTTATCCCTGATGTCCTTACACAGCTCTCTGGTCTTGGCCATTGTGGAGAGGTTGGAGTCTGTTTGATTGAGTGTGTGGACAGGTGTCTTTTATACAGGTAACGAGTTCAAACAGGTGCAGTTAATACAGGTAATGAGTGGAGAACTTGAGGGCTTCTTCAAGAAAAACTAACAGGTCTGTGAGAGCCAGAATTCTTACTGGTTGGTAGGTGATCAAATACTTATGTCATGCAATAAAATGCAAATTAATTACTTAAAAATCATACAATGTGATTTTCTGGATTTTAGATTCTGTCTCTCACAGTTGAAGTGTACCTATGATCAAAATTACAGACCTCTACATGCTTTCTAAGTAGGAAAACCTGCAAAATCGGCAGTGTATCAAATACTTGTTCTCCCCTCTGTAGGTGGGAACACTGGGATCTCTCTGTAGGTCAGGTCTCTGAACCGCCAGGCAGCCTCAGCACCACATCTGTCCTCCCTGTTCCTCCAATTCACTCACTAGGCCATAGATGGAGACCAGTGTGAAAATGAATATGTGGACCCCTGTGACATATAACCTCTGGGTGTATAGGGAGGGTTGTTTTCTACTGAGATGCGCTGTTCTACTGAGATTAATAGATCCCACAGATTTGATTGATACATATCCCATAACATGAAGCCATGCTATTCATTTGAACTATAAATAATATAATCTTGTATGTTTATTGTGAGCCTAGTGAGATTTAAGTAAGTAAAGTCATTAATATGTGACAACAGAGTATAAGGCCTAGATTCAATCAGATCAAACGTTAACCGACGATAGCCGACACTCGCATAGTGGATGTTCTGGCGCTGTCGAAGGTGGAACTGTGTTGGAGCCGTCAAATCGGTGAGCAGCTGCTCTTGCGATCATTGTCACAAAGCCCCACTCGCATTAGAAATAATAGGCTCTATAGAAATAATTACGCTCAAATGTAAAAATCATTAAAGTAAATAATGAGGATTTCTATCATCCTAATCGAGGTGTAGATTACATCTCACATTCCATTGTTCAAACTTGTAAACAAGGCTGCATGGGATTTCTGTTAATGCGACTCTGTGCAACCAATGGCAATGTCTGCTTTTGGTATAATGCCGGGAGCCACTTGTGGATTTGACAGCTCTAACGCAGTTCCACCTCCGACAAGGTCAAAACAACCGCTATGCGGATGTCGGCTAAAGTGGATCTGATTGAATAAAGCCCTAAGTGTGTGAGTGCAGTGATAGTCCCATCCTCTTCTTCTCAGCTACTCCCCTGCATTACCAGGCCAAGTCCCTGCAGGTAGGACTGACCTTGTTTACAAAGGAACCAAAATAAGAACCTCAGAATATCAACCAAAACACATTACATTGTAATGCCATGGTACTAACACTAAGAGAGAACACACAGATATCGATTTCATTTTTATTGTCACTCTTTCTATGACTGCATTTCATCCCCACCACTCAATCTCTCAATTATATCTCAATGTTCCCTCCTTTTTTGTCCCTTCCCTCTTCCCAGGTGCCATTCACCTGCAGTTCCACTCCAGTGGGAACCACTATGTGTGGAGGAAGGTGACCTCCACCGTGCACAACATCATTGTGGGCAAGCTGTGGATTGACCAGGTGTGTCTACTAACTACATCATGGGGTCTTACTCAGTGTGTTAGAGGTGTCCGTCTCTCTATCTCTGGCAGCTAGCTACCTCTTGTATATTTCCGGTGTTCCTGTAGCTGTTTGTAATGTAATCCAGGCCACTGGAATGAGTGTTGTGTAGAGGCAGATTTAAATCGGAACAGAACAGAACAACATAGCACATGAATAAGCCTGCCTGTGGTCTCTAGAGGTTTCTTCCCCTTTCATCTCTAATAATGCCCTCCCCTCTCTCTGAGATGACCCAATTATAGTCTGTAACTGTCTGTCTGTCTGTCTGTAGTACTACTCGGTACTCTATACCAGAGTTTCCCTGGGGCCCCCCCTGGATGCACGTTTTGGTTTTTGCCCTAGCGCTACACCACTGATTCAATAATCAATGAGGAGAGGGTTATTTCAATCAGCTTTGTAGTGCTAAGGCAAAAAACTAAACGTGCACCCCCCCCCGGGTGTTAGGGCCCCAGGACTGAGTTTGGGAAACCCTGCTCTATACCATTCCCTCACTGGAGGAGGAGGAGGAAGAAGAAGGGGGAGAAAGGGGCCAGGGAATAAACTCTAGCATATGGTAGAATATGGCACACTCACAAACAGCTTCTGGTTTACCAGTCCCTAATGCACACCTTAGTGTCAGTTTTATATAGAGCTTCATACTACAATCCCATTACATCACTGAGGCTGACTGAATGTACAGACCATAGAATCAGGAATTAGAATACTAGAATGGACATGAACCTTCTTATGATGGAATAAAGGTCAGCCATTTTGGTCAGGGAGTTGGTCAACCATGGTTTGCCAGTGCTGTGATAAGATATTGTGTAAAATAATGAATTTGAAGAATTTATCTTCACTGTTTTAGCTAGCTAGACAGTTTTAGAGGAATGATTGCGTACATTTTTTAAATTAACTGCCAATATGCCAGCATTCCATTCAAACAATCCAATCAATCCACAGCCATACACTGGCTGAAATCAGTTGATGATAGGACTTGCAACAAGTACTGACATTGTATCATACAATAGCACTCACAGCTTTCCAAGAAAACAGAAATTGAGACATTTATAATCTGTTTACATATATTTGAGAGGCTATTTATACAGAACATTTGTATAAAACCTGTATAAACTCTATTTATATATATATAAAATTTTAGGTTAACAATAATTCTATAACACAATTTCTGATATATCACATGCTTCATTTTTATTTTCCTGCATAAGTAAAATCAGGATTATGCCTCTACTGCCATTCATTCCAATTAGACTGGTTTGGATTTCTCCCTGACCAATATGGCTGTAATTTCATAAGATCTCTATGGTACAGATACTGTTCTGATGCAGCTGTGGAATGTTGAGATGTTAGTGGTTCTTTCTATCCTTCTGAACTGATGATGACTCATCAGTTGTTTCTGTATGCAATATGCATGAATGCTATTGATGCTTACCAGCAATTCTCTACTATCCATTCCTTCTCTTTCATTCTGTCTTCCATCCCATTCTACCCTCGCTTCTCCCTCTCCTTCTCTATCCCTCCCACTGTCGATGGGCAGTCAGGGGACATTGAGATAGTCAACCACAGGACCATGGAGACGTGCCAGCTGAAGTTCTCCCCCTACAGCTATTTCTCCAGGGATGTCCCACGCAAGGTACATGTTACCACCATCACCCTCTAATTAGCCCTGGCTGAAACCTGACTGTGGCATGATGAGTTTGTAGGCTCGGTTGTCACATTGTTGTGGGCTGCCCCCTGCTGGATAGTACAAGCAAATGTATCATTTTTCAATTGACCATTATTTCATAATAGTTGTTTATGATAAACTATGGAGGGATATTGTATTATTTTCTACATACGGAATTATACATTTCCTCACCCCCCTCTCCTCTATCTGTGTGTTTGTGTTGTCTAGGTAACGGGGGTGGTGTCAGACAGTGGAGGGCAGGCCCACTACATCCTGTCTGGCACGTGGGATGATAAGATCGAGAGCTCCAAGATCGTCCAGAGCAGCAAAGGGGGCAGCGGCTCCGAGGGCAAGCAAAAGACTGTCTACCAGACCCTGTCCCCCAAACTACTGTGGAAGAAATACCCTCTCCCGTAAGCACTGTCCAGCACAACAGTTTATACAGTAACACAGATCACGCACTAAGCCTACGATGCACCTCATACAAAAACACTGACTTGTAAAGAATACTACATTACAGAGCAACTGCTCTCCCCTCTCCCCCACTTCCTCCCTATTCCCTCTCTCTCCCTCTCTCTCCCTCTGTCAGGGATAACGCTGAGAACATGTACTTCTTCTCATCGCTGGCGCTGACGTTGAATGAGCCGGAGGATGGGGTGGGGCTGACGGACAGCCGACTGAGACCGGACCAGAGGCTGATGGAAGCAGGGAGATGGGACGAGGCCAACTCTGAGAAACAGAGACTAGAGGAGAAACAGAGAGCTGTGAGGAGGAGGAGAGAGGCGGAGGCCACAGACGCACTGGACAACGGTAAGACACACAGAGAGAGAGGGAGAGAGAGTGGGCAGGGTGGAGAGCGGGAGAAAGGTAAGGGAGAGTTGACAGAGAAACATACTGATAAAAAGGAGCTGGGTGTAGAAGTGGGGAGAGAGGACACTTCAGACAGTCCATAAGAAGGGCTGGATTGATTGTGAGGGATTTCTAGAAAGTATTTATTCAGTCACATAACTTTGAATCATTCCTCCAGGTCCCCTGGCCTTTATGTAAATGATTATGACAAGAACAGTATTACCTGGAGTGAGCCTCACGGCAAATGGAGGGGTAATGACAGGTCAAGTAGAGGAAAAGAACAGATTAGGATTGAAGTGAAGCGCTAATGGAGGCTACTAGGGGGAGAGTGTAGAGAGAGGACACAGCAGACACTTATAATCCTGGTAACGTTGTTAAAGTCCAACACTCTGTGTAGCACTGTGACCTATTGTAGGCTGTATTTGATGTACCCATGACACGTCTCTCTTTTCCTCTCTCTGTTGGTGGTCAGAGTGTGATTATGATGACTCTGGTGAGTGGGGGTGGCCTTGCGTCCCGCTGTTGTGCATCACCCTCCCCCACCCCCATCTTTTTTGTGTTGACCCTCCCCTTTGTGGTGGAAATACTTAAGTAAAAGTAAAGATACACTATATATACAAAGTATGTGGACACCCCTTCAAAATTGTGGATATGACTATTTCAGCCACACCGTTGCTGACTGACAGGTGTATAAAATTGAGCACACAGCCATACAATCTCCATAGACAAACATTGGCAGTAGAATGGCCTTACTGAAGAGCTCAGTGACTTTCAACGTGGCACCGTCATAGGATGCCACCTTTCCAACAAGTCAGTTTGTCAAATTTCTGCCCTGCTAGAGCTGCCACGGTCAACTGTAAGTGCTGTTATTGTGAAGTGGAAACGTTTAGGAGCAACAACGGCTAAGCCGCGAAGTGTTAGGCCACACAAACTCACAGAATGGGACCACGAGTGCTGAAGCACGTAGCGCATAAAAACGTCTGTCCTCGGTTGCAACACTCTACCGAGTTCCAAACTGCCTCTGGAAGCAACGTCAGCACAAGAACTGTTCGTCGGGAGCTTCATGAAATGGGTTTCCATGGCCGAGCAGCCACACACAAGCCTAAGTTCACCATGCGCAATGCCAAACGTCGGCTGGAGTGGTGTAAAGCTCGCCGCCATTGGACTCTGGAGCAGGGGCGGTGTGTTCAATAGGGCGATATGGGCGACGCACTGCCAAACGGGAAAAGGAAGGGATTTTTTTTCTAATCAATTATATCACGGCAACAGTAGTTATCAGTGTTCTAATCTGATCTGACTGCCACTAAATGTCCAATCAGGCTAAAGTCGTGCTTCAAATGGCCACCCCCCCTTTTGGGGCGATTTCAGTCAGGTTGAAAATCGCCCAGAAGTCTGTCATAGACTCCCATGTAAAATCTATTTTTTTCAAATTTCAGAGCTTTCAATACAATCTCTATGGGTTTCTGAGGGCTTGCACTTACGCGCTTTCGTCATACGTAACGTAACCATGAACGTAACTAAGAAAATAGCGGGTAGCAGCGTCTCTGTTGCGACCTGCAGTGTGGCGTTATCTTATGTTTTTAATTTGTACACTTAGTGGCGTTATTTTATGTTTTTAATTTGTACACTTAGTTTACAAACATTCTGCCAACCATGGATTTCCAGTGGTGGGTTTTGGACTGATCTTGTTGATCGTGTACATACCCGCTACGAACGGACTAAATAATGAAAACGCTGCTGGCAGCGGAATCCAATACAGCAGAACAAACTTCCCTTACCCACCACCTTGCTGATTAATGCCCAGTCACTGAGGGGGAAAGCGGATGAGTTGTCAGCGAATCTGCGCTTCCAACACGAATATCGGGAGGCCTGTTTGCTGGCATTTACTGAGACTTGGCTGGATGACAGAGTCCCGGACAGAGAAGTGGAGCCGGCCGGCTTCACCCTGGTCAGAGCGGACCGCGATCTGACAGTCACAGGGAAAATCGATCCTGGTAAGAGAGCGACTCTGTACCCCCGACATTGAACTGCTTTCTGTGTCACTGCGACCTTACTATCTGCCCCGTGAGTTCCCCCAATTGTTTGTTACCGTTGTGTACATTCAACCAAAAGCTAATATAACAAAGGCATCAGAGATTATTTATAATCTGTCACAGAAACTGGAATCCATCTCCCCAGATCAGTCAATAAATGCTTCTGGTATTGATTTATATGCTGCCCCTGTCTTCATGTTGTTGCTGGACATATCTTTTTTTAAATGTGTGTAGGTCACCTAAATCATCAGAAAAATTGCCCCCCCTGAGAATTTTTTCAGGAGCCGCCACTGCTCTGGAGCAGTAGAAATGCGTTCTCTGTAGTGATGAATCACGCTTCACCATCTGGCAGTCCAACGGACGAATCTGGGTTTGGGGGATGCCAGGAGAACGCTACCTGCCCGAATGCATAGTGCCAACTGTAAAGTTTGGTGGAGGAGGAATATTGGTCTGGGGCTGTTTTTCATGGTTCGGGCAAGGCCCCTTAATTACAGTGAAGGGAAATCTCAACGCTACAGCATACAATGACATTCTAGACGATTCTGTGCTTCCAACTTAGTGGCAACAGTTTGAGGAAGGCGTTTTCCTGTTTCAGCATGACAATGCCCCCATGCACAAAGCGAGGTCCATACAGAAATGGTTTGTCGAGGTCAGTGTGGAAGAACTTGACTGGCCTGCACAGAGCCCTGACGTAACCCCATCGAACACCTCTGGGATGAATTGGAACACCGACTGCGAACCAGGCCTAATCGCCCAACATCAGTACCCGACCTCACTAATGTTCTTGTGGCTGAATGGAAGCAAGTCCCTACAGCAATGTTCCAACATCTAGTGGAAAGCCTTCCCAGAAGAGTGGTGGCTGTTACAGCAGCAAAGGGGGGACCAACTCCATATGAATGATTTTTGGAATGAGAATTTCAACGAGCAAGTGTCCACATACTATTGGTAATCTAGTGTACCTTAATAGAAAATGACTCAAGTAAAAGTGAAAGTCACCCAGTAAAATACTACTTGAGTAGAAGTCTAAAAGTATCTGGTTTTAAATGTACATCAAATTCCTTATATTAATAAGCAAACCAGATGACACGATTCTCTCGTTTTTTATTTATTTACAGACAGCCAGGGGCACAGTCCAACGCTTGGACATAATTTACAAACATTGTTTGTGTTTAGTCCGCCAGATCAGAGGCAGTAGGGATGACAAGTCGTTATATTGTGCGTGAATGCGTGAATTGGCCCATATTGCTGTCCTGCCTGAGCATTCTACATGTAACGAGTAGTTTTGGGCATCAGGGAAAATGTATGGGAGTAAAAAGTACATATTTTTTTAGGAATGTAGTGGAGTAAAATTTGTCAAAAATATTAATTGTAAAGTAAAGATACCCAAAAAAACATATTTTAACTTAGTTTACGCCACTGCTTTGTGGTTATGACAGCGTTCCAGGATGTCTTTTTTGCAGTCACGCCGCACATCTCAGATCAAATCAAATGTATTTATAAAGCCCTTTTTACATCAGCAGATGTCACAAAGTGCTTTTACGGAAACCCAGTCTAAAACCCCAAACAGCAAGCAATGTAGATGTAGAAGCACAGTGGCTAGGAAAAACTCTCTAGAAAGGCAGGAACCTAGGAAGAAACCTAGAGAGGAACCAGACTCTGAGGGGTGGCCAGTCACCTTCTGGCTGTGCCGGGGGGAGATTATAAGAGTACATGGCCATTAAGACCAGATTGTTCTTCAAGATGTTCAAACGTTCATAGATGACCAGCAGGTCAAATAATAATGAGAGTGGTTGTAGACGGTGCAACAGGTCAGTACCTCAGGAGTAAATGTCAGTTGGCTTTTCATAGCCGAGCATTCAGAGGTCGAGACAGCAGGTGCGGTAGAGCGAGAGAGGGAGAGAGCGAGAGGGAGAGTCGAAAACAGCAAGTCCGGGACAAGGTAGCACGTCCGGTGAACAGGTCAGGGTTCCATAGTGGCAGGCAGAACAGTTAAAACTGGAGCAGCAGCACGACCAGGTGGACTGGGGACAGCCAGGAGTCATCAGGCCAGGTAGTCCTGAGGCATGGTCCTAGGGCTCAGGTCTTCCAGGGGGGGAGGGAGAGAGGGGGAAAGAGAGAGAATTAGAGGGAGCATACTTAAATTCACCAGAAAAGACAGGATAATTATACCAGATATAACAGACTGACCCTAGCCCCCCGGCACATAGACTATTGCAGCATAGATACTGGAGGCTGAGACGGGGGGGGGGGCCAACCAGGCAGGATATAACCCCACTCACTTTGCCAAAGCACAGCCCCCACACTGCTAGAGGGATATCAACAGATCACCAACTTACTACCCTGAGACAAGGCTGAGTATAGCCCAAGAAATTCTCCTCAACCGCACAAGCCCGAGGGGGCGCAAAACCGGACAGGAAGATCACGTCAGTGACTCAACCCACTCAAGTGACGCACCCATCCTAGGGACGCGCATGGAAGAGCACTAGTAAGCCAGCGACTCAGCCCCCGTAATAGGGTCAGAGGCAGAGAATCCCAGTGGAGAGACGGGAGGCGGCAAGGCAGAGACAGCAAGGGCAGTTCATCGCTCCAGTGCCTTGCCGCTTACCTTCGCACCCCTGGGCCAGACTACACTCAATCATAGGACCTACTGAAGAGATGAGTCTTCAGTAAAGACTTAAAGGTTGAGACCGAGTCTGCATCTCTCACATGAATAAGCAGACCATTCCATAAAAATGTTGCTGTATAGGAGAAAGCCCTGCCTCCAGCTGTTTGCTTAGAAATTCTAGGGACAATAAGGAGGCCTGCGTCTTGTGACCGTAGCGTACGTGTAGGTATGTATGGCAGGACCAAACCGGAGAGATAGGTAGGAGCAAGTCCATGTAATGCTTTGTAGGTTAGCAGTAAAACCTTTAAATCAGCCCTAGCCTTAACAGGAAGCCAGTGTAGAGAGGCTAGGACTGGAGTAATATGCTCAGATTTTGGGGTTCTAGTCAAGATTCTAGCAGCCGTGTTTAGCACTAACTGAAGTTTATTTAGTGCTTTATCCAGGTAGCCGGAGAGTAGAGCATTGCAGTAGTCTAATCTCGAAGTGACAAAAGCATGGATTCGTTTTTATGCATAATCTTTGCACAAAACTTTTAGGATTTTTGCAAAGTTACGAAGATGGAAAAAAGCTGCCCTTGAAACATTCTTGATATGTTCGTCAAAAGAGACGATTACTATATCATATTCATGTGGTCCAGAGACGTTAAAAACGTCCCTAGGTTTTGTTAGATCTGATAATCTGCACAGCATGACTGCAATAAAGATGACCTGGAAGGCATCCTTTATATGGGGTTTGCATGCTGACTGCTTTTCCCTAGTACCCTCTGTTCCAGAGTATGACCCGGTCTTGCTGCTATGTGCCTTTTTCATTCAGACTTGACTTGGCCCTACTATGTCTGTACTGTTTCAGCCAGAGAAACAGACATAGAGGTGTCTAATGTGTGGGAGTGACAGTAGAACATACAGAATAACTCCCTGAGCCCTTCATCTGAGTGACACTTGTGTCTCTTCCCCCAGGTCGGGAGTATGAGGGCTTCCAGCCACAGTGGTTCCACAAGAGGACAAACGCCATCACTGGGGAGACAAACTTTGTGTACAAGGGTGGATACTGGGAGGCTAAGGACAGTCAGGACTGGAGTATGTGCTCTGAAATCTTCTAAGCCTCAACCACACCCATCCTACCCCATCACTGGACTCACCCAGGCCCAGGAGACTGCTCCGCCACTGGCCCTGGAGGAAGAGGGGTCTGGGTCTGGGTGTGGACCTCTGTGTGTATGTCTCACACATTCACAACACAGTGTACCTCCCAACGTACACACAGAGGTAATATTTTTTACGGAGTCAAGGGCGAAAAGGGGCCTTTTCTAGATCCTCCCTGACGTAACACTGAGCTGTGTGGGGGTGTGCGAGAGAGAGGGGAGATTGAATACAATAGAAAAAGGGCCCCATAGAGACTTCCAAAAGAATCAGGTGCTCCACACACGCTACCCACAATGTACCTTTGCTCTGCTCAGCACATCTGTTTCTAGGGGTTTTAGTGATTGAACAGCAACCCATCTAATCAGTTCTCCTGGGATGAGATGAAGTCCATCCTGTCTAATGGACGGACGGAGAGACAGAGAGACAAAAAGAACGCTAAAGACGTTTATAGAAAGACCGTTTATATACACTACCGGTCAAAAGTTTTAGAACACCTACTCATTCAAGGGTTTTTCTTTATTTTTACTATTTTCTACATGGTAGAATAATAGTGAAGACATCAAAACTATGAAGTAACACATATGGAATCATGTACTAACCAAAAAAGTGTTAAACAAATCAACATACAGTGAGGGAAAAAAGTATTTGATCCCCTGCTGAATTTGTACGTTTGCCCACTGACAAAGAAATGATCAGTCTATAATTTTAATGGTAGGTTTATTTGAACAGTGAGAGACAGAATAACAACAAAAAAATCCAGAAAAACGCATGTCAAAAATGTTATAAATTGATTTGCATTTTAATGAGGGAAATAAGTATTTGACCCCCTCTCAATCAGAAAGATTTCTGGCTCCCAGGTGTCTTTTATACAGGTAACGAGCTGAGATTAGGAGCACACTCTTAAAGGGAGTGCTCCTAATCTCAGCTTGTTATCTGTATAAAAGACACCTGTCCACAGAAGCAATCAATCAATCAGATTCCAAACTCTCCACCATGGCCAAGACCAAAGAGCTCTCCAAGGATGTCAGGGACAAGATTGTAGACCTACACAAGGCTGGAATGGGCTACAAGACCATCGCCAAGCAGCTTGGTGAGAAGGTGACAACAGTTGGTGCGATTATTCGCAAATGGAAGAAACACAAAATAACTGTCAATCTCCCTTGGCCTGGGGCTCCATGCAAGATCTCACCTCGTGGAGTTGCAATGATCATGAGAACGGTGAGGAATCAGCCCAGAACTACACGGGAGGATCTTGTCAATGATCTCAAGGCAGCTGGGACCATAGTCACCAAGAAAACAATTGGTAACACACTACGCCGTGAAGGACTGAAATCCTGCAGCGCCCGCAAGGTCCCCCTGCTCAAGAAAGCACATATACAGGCCTGTCTGAAGCTTGCCAATGAACATCAGAATGATTCAGAGGAGAACTGGGTGAAAGTGTTGTGGTCAGATGAGACCAAAATCGAGCTCTTTGGCATCAACTCAACTCGCCGTGTTTGGAGGAGGAGGAATGCTGCCTATGACCCCAAGAACACCATCCCCACGTCAAACATGGAGGTGGAAACATTATGCTTTGGGGGTGTTTTTCTGCTAAGGGGACAGGACAACTTCACCGCATCAAAGGGACGATGGATGGGGCCATGTACCATCAAATCTTGGGTGAGAACCTCCTTCCCTCAGCCAGGGCATTGAAAATTAGTCGTGGATGGGTATTCCAGCATGACAATGACCCAAAACACACGGCCAAGGCAACAAAGTAGTGGCTCAAGAAGAAGCACATTAAGGTCCTGGAGTGGCCTAGCCAGTCTCCAGACCTTAATCCCATAGAAAATCTGTGGAGGGAGCTGAAGGTTCGAGTTGCCAAACGTCAGCCTCGAAACCTTAATGACTTGGAGAAGATCTGCAAAGAGGAGTGGGACAAAATCCCTCCTGAGATGTGTGCAAACCTGGTGGCCAACTGCAAGAAACGTCTGACCTCTGTGATTGCCAACAAGGGTTTTGCCACCAAGTACTAAGTCATGTTTTGCAGAGGGGTCAAATACTTATTTCCCTCAATAAAATGCAAATCAATTTATAACATTTTTGACATGCGTTTTTCTGTATTTTTTTGTTGTTATTCTGTCTCTCACTGTTCAAATAAACCTACCATTAAAATGTTAGACTGATCATGTCTTTGTCAGTGGGCAAACGTACAAAATCACCAGGGGATCAAATACTTTTTTCCCTCACTGTATATTTTATATTTTATATTTGAGATTCTTCAAATAGCCACCCTTTGCCTTGATGACAGCTTTGCACACTCTTGGCATTCTCTCAACCAGCTTCACCTGGAATGCTTTTCCAACAGTCTTGAAGGAGTTCCCACATATGCTGAGCACTTGTTGGCTGCTTTTCCTGACACTGTGGTCCGACTCATCCCAAACCATCTCAATTTGGTTGAGATTGGGGGATTGTGGAGGCCAGGTCATCTAATGCAGCACTCCATCACTCTCCTTCTTGGTAAAATAGGCCTTACACAGCCTGGAGGTGTGTTGGGTCATTGTCCTGTTGAAAAACAAATGATAGTCCCGCTAAGCCCAAACCAGATGGGATGGCGTATCGCTGCAGAATGCTGTGGTAGCCATGCTGGTTAAGTGTGCCTTGAATTCTAAATATATCACAGACAGTGTCACCAGCAAAGCAGCCTCACACCATAACACCTCCTCCTCTATGCTTTACGGTGGGAAATACACATGCAGAGATCATCCGTTCACCCACATCGCATCTCACAAAGACACAGCGGTTGGAACCAAATATCTCCAGTTTGGACTCCAGACCAAAGGACACATTTCCACCGGGCTAATGTCCATTGCTCGTGTTTCTTGGCCCAAACAAGTCTCTTCTTCTTATTGGTGTCCTTTAGAAGTGGTTTCTTTGCAGCAATTCGACCATGGCCTGATTCACACAGTCTCCTCTGTACAGTTGATGTTGAGATGTGTCTGTTACTTGAACTCTGTGAAGCATTTATTTGGGCTGCAATTTCTGAGGCTGGTAACTCTAAGGAACGTATCCTCTGCAGCAGGGGTAACTCTGGGTCTTCCATTCCTGTGGCGGACCTCATGAGAGCCAGTTTCATCATAGCGCTTGAAAGTTTTTGCGACTGCACTTGAAGAAACTTTCAAAGTTCTTGACATTTTCCGTATTGACTGACCTTCATGTCTTAAAGTAATGATGGACTGTCGTTTCTCTTTGCTTATTTGAGCTGTTCTTGCCATAATATGGATTGGCTCAAACGCATTAAGAAGGAAAGAAATTCCACAAATTAACTTTTAAGAAGGCACACCTGTTAATTGAAATGCATTCCATGAAGCTGGTTGAGAGAATGCCAAGAGTGTGCAAAGCTGTCATGAAGGCAAAGGGTGGCTTTTTGAAGAATCTCAAATATAAAATATTTTTTGATTTGTTTAACACTTTTTTGGTTACTACATGATTCCATATGTGTTATTTCATAGTTTTGATGTCTTCACTATTATTCTACAATGTAGAAAATAGTAAAAATATATAAAAGCCCTTGAGTGAGTAGATGTGTCCAAACTTTTGACCGGTAGTGTGTATATATATATATATATGGCTAAAATGGGTATCGTTATATATATATAAATATATATATATTTCTAACGATACCCATTTTAGCCATATATATATTTATTTGTAGGAACTCAGTCGGGGTCTCAATTTACTATTGAGATCAAGAGTAGTAGAATACACCAGGTGCAATTTCGAAATTTCAGCAGTTTTTAACTTTTTATGTCAGTCACTGACAGTCACTCAATTAGCCATGTCAGCTAACAACTTTTAGATTGGTAGTTAGTCTAGCCAGCTATCTAACTTGTAATAATCATGGTCAAATACTGACCGGGCACGCAAGGCATGTGCCCAGGGGCCCTGACCTTCACGGGGCCCCCATTGAATTTGTTAGTCATTCTCACTCAGCTATCATATTTACATGGCATTAAAACTTCAATAAATTCTCTCCACCCCATGGCAAAATGGGTAGAATTGCAGGAAATGTGTTGTAAAACTGCAAAAATGTTCTCTCTGTCCCATGGCAAAATGAGTAGAATTGCATGAAATGTGTTATAAAATTGCAAAGCTTTCTCTACGCCCCATGGCAAAATGTGTAGAGTTGCAGGAAATTAACTTTAGAATCTACATTTGTTTCTACACCGTCAAGAGGGGGGTAGGGCTGGGCGAAATATCGAATTCATTAGATTCATTCTAATGTATGTTTTTGCGCAATATTCCAAATGCCTGTATCACAATAATATTTTAGTTTTTTTATGGGCATTTATGTCCGCTTGTTCTCATGTCTTTCTGGTCTCGTCTCCTTCACTCCTTCTGTGCTGTGTGCACCTTCCCATTTACACCAGAGATCTTTATTTAATGATGAAAAGCCCATAGAAACAAATTGTTTTTTGGGGCACAGTTTTTGCCGAGAGCGAAAACTCTCGCTTCACCTCTTCCTCTCTGTTTACACACACACACCAAGCCTCTCCTCCTGCCACTCACAACAACAAAGCTGAAAGATCACTAATTCCTCTCTATTTGCGTTTGAGGTTTGGTCCAACAAAATCGGTCATATGGACACTGAAACACATTGAGACATAATTTTACTGTACTAGAGGAGACGTTAACCTTTCTAACGATACCCTTTTTATGTCTTAAATATTCAAATTGAGTGCAGAGCAAACACTACTAAAACGGGAGTATCAATGAACATTGATTCTGGAAAACGAATGCTCAGTTTGTCATGCGCTGCATTGCGGTAGCATTTTAGCCAAAGACTGTTATACTAGCTGTCTAGTCTATGCTTATTGCACATTTATAAAACACAAAACGCAATTATATAAGGAATGGGCAACTCATTCTCATTCTGGGAAATAAGGTAGGCCACTTGATTTCAACATCTGAACAAAGTGGACAGGCTAGCATGCTGTTCAAACAGTTGGAGACAGACAGAATAGTGTGTTCACAACAATTCAACTGTTATGCCTTGTTAGCTAGCAAATAGATCCAAGTTTGCTAAACTTAAAATATGAAGATTAGCTGGCTACTCACTAGCACGTGCTTATGAGATGTGTTAGTTTTCTATAATGCCTGCTACAAGAAGTTAGTCATGATTAGTGAATGTGCATTATGCATGGTTCTGGTTAAATTTGTAACTAAAATGGCATTTTCATAGACAGACTTGAAAGCCAGATAAGTGATTATTGCAAAAAAGCAGATTTAAACTATTTTGATAAAATAATTAAATTATTAGTGGTTCTTATGGTTGTGGAAGGCTTATATTTAGCCTAGGTATAATTTCACAAGCCCTGAATTCATTAGATTATTACTGACTGTTTGAAATGCAGTGTATTTGACCGTTTAATTGTACAACAAAGCTTATTTAGAGAAAACATATTTAAAAATCAAGATATATATCGTGAATCGTCCAGAAGTTTGTAAAAATCGAAATATAATT